GAGACACTCACCACACTCTCACACACTTTGATACTCACCCCCCCCCCCCCCACCTTATTACACATAAACACTCATTTATAATATAGAGAAGAATTTCTCAAGATTCCACATAGGCACCTCTTCAAAATCCGTCCAAATTTAATGCATTTATGAAAATAACCGTCTTTGGCGCCTAGGCACTGAAATCTGGAGCCTAGGCGTTGTCTTCTCTAGATCCTGACGCCTATGAGCTAGTTTAATTTTTTTAAAACACCACATTTTTTACTCTAAATTTTGTCCTTTTTGCATTCTTTAAGCTCCAAATGCCTATACTTAGTGCACCTGCAATAAAACATGAAAATACTTTTCTTTAAAGTGCAATATCACCAAATATAAGCCTCAAATATATATGTAAAATTGAATATTTTTTTGTGTATCAGCCACTTGTGAGGTTAAAATCCGTTGAGAAACATAAAGACTCGGAGCAACTATTATTTCACCTAACTGGTGAGTGTCACATTTCATTCTAGGCAGAGTCGTTGTGATCACCTAAGGAGGAGTGCAAATAGATAGGGAGATAAGTTTTGATGAGCATAGAATTGTTATTTCTAGGGTGACATTAGATTTTTTTTCAAATTTGGTTTAGAGTTTGGATCGTAAGGGTCCCTAGTAGATCCTATAGAGAGGGCACTGTGGGTAATCTTGAGGTAAGAGGTCAGAATCTACTCACACTACTACACAAGCTGGAGAAAAACTCTAAATTATCCAATGTTCTTTGTTAGCACTGGGAGGGGGTAAAGAATATGAATGCTCCTATTTGACATAATACATTATCATATTTTAGTCATTCAAATCATACATAGATAAATATATCATTGCAATGGGAAAGATCTTTACATATTATTTAAACTCGTTAGAATTACTTTTATTAAACTGTTAAATATAATTGTTTCTATCTGCTTTTATTTAGTCTTAACTATTGCTACCATTTCATTTTTATTTATATATGCAATTTAAATAGAATTTGCTTTTGAGTTTAGCAAGCCAATTTAAATAGTCCAACTGTCATCGTGGGATCGATATTTGGGTTTTAAGGAAAATCTTATATTACTTGGAATGAAGCGTATATTTGCATAGTACCTCTTGTGTGAAGTTTTATTATTTATTTATCATATCATTTCATTTATTCACACTAGCCTCTGAATATAATTTGGGTCAACCTTTTTAAAATATTTTGGAGATTAAAAATACAAGTAATTACAGGTCGGGTTAATATGCTCGCAAGCAATGCTTATTAATGCTTTAAGACCAATGTCGGGTCACTCATCTAAGTGACGGCTTACCATTAAGGCGGATCAGATCATGTTCATGCAAATGACCAAGAATGATTAAACCACGACCATAAAGATTTCATCGAGGCTAGTCAAACCATAGTTGTGCAAGTATGCATAAGTCTGATAAAACATGCAGGCCGGTCAACTAGGCTCTCCGCACAAAGAATCAACAATGATCCTTGATATCAGGAGGTTAACTATGACTTCAAAGTAGTGGACCAAGTAGGATCCCTACACTTGTCATATGCCAACAAGAAAAACATGACAAAAGCACAATAAAACATAGTTTTGTCAGTGCTAAGACCATTTACATAAGCCATTGTAAAGGCCACAAAACAAATGTTACATGAGACATGCCATAAAATGATGGGCACATAGTATGCAAATGTAAAGCAAGTGCTCAGTATAGCATGTAAAAGGGTCTTCTAGGATCTTTATGTAAGATATTAACCATAATATTTACATGAGAGATCAGCTAGAACTGCTAAAAGATGTTAAATGTCAATAAGGCAAGCATGGCAACAGACATGGTAAAGCATACTTTTACTAATACAAAATCCATCATTATATAACATTAAACATAATTACTTTCATGTATAACAAACTAAGCGTCAAGCTAAAACATTTGCTCATGCATATGATGAATGGATACTAATTCAAAATATAAAACACACTTAGATATGATCATTAAGTTGAAAATGCCTTTTCACGTATAATAACTTGGACATTAATTCGAAGAAATATTATTTTTTTCTTACATGTGGGTTGCATATAGACATGCTAACACCACATCAAAAGATATTTTCAAATACCTTATGTATTAAAATATAAACATTAAACTTCGAAAAAGGACTTTCATGTATATGAATCAAGCATTAAGCTAAAAGTTTTTTATTCATACAAGATGAGTTTAACATTAAGCAAGAAAAGAAATAGCTTTTCATACATCATTAGCATAAAACAAGCATCATAAAGTTTGATTTTACATGCAAAATGTATTATAGCATTAAGCCACAAGCAAAAAGGTAATGCAATATTTCTACATTAGTATAATCAAGTGATAAAAATATGCCTTGCTATGGAAAAAATCAAGCTTCATGCACCATGCTACCTATGTTAAAAGACCGTGCAAAGTAAGCCCAATCAAGCTTAAAAGGAAGGCATCTCTCTAATAATCTCATAAGAATCTTAGAGTTGATAAAGTCATAACTGCCATCTATTACTCGTCATAACGGAGGACCGAACTCTAAATATTTAGCAAAAATATCTGGTTGCGCCCGCAAGTGCGCTAGACCTTCAGCGCAGGAGAACCAAGTTCATCGTAGGTGAGCCAACTTCCTGGTGTGGGTGCGCCCAAAAACCTGTTGTGGGAGCAGCATGCTCTCAGTTTGCTTCAGTAAAAATGCCATCTTGGGCGCAAGTGCGCTCTATCTAACCCTAGTAGCATTCCTTAAGCATGTATCAAAGAGCTCAAACGGATATCTTGAGTCACGAGGATCTGAATTTGAGCAAAATATGGTCCCATAACATTCAAATTGACATTCTTCTCTTGTGAAAACTAAAATTGATGCTAATTGACCTAGGTGACAAACTATAACCCACATGACTCACAGCTCATGCTACACCCAACTCTAGACCCTACGGCCTATAGATGTTATTGCAACTCACAACTACATCTTTTGTGGCAAACTGATGTTATTATAGCTCTCCACTCTGACCTACATCTACAGTTTGTGGTTAATTGTTACTACAATGTCCAACTATGATCTTTGTGGCCAATTGACGCTATTATAGCTCCCCACTATGGCCTACACCAACAACTAAGACCTTTATGGCTAATTGTTACTACAATGTCCAATTATGTCATTTTTTTCCAACTGACATTATTATTGCTCCCACTACGGTCTACATGAACAACTGTGACTTATGTAGCTAATTGTTAATGCAATTTCCAACTACGGCCTTTTTGGCCAACTATCACTATTATAACTCCACAATACAGCCTATGTGAACAACTACGACCTATATGGCTAATTGCAATTGCAATGTCCAACTATGACATTTATGGTCAACTGACTCTATTATAGCTCTTCACTACGACAATCTATTTGGCTAATTGTCATGACAATGGCAAACTACAGCCTTTGTGGCCAACTGACACTATTACAGCTTCTGACCTACATTATATGAGGCTAATTGCTACTGCAATTTCCAACTATGGTCTTTGTGGCTACTTAATGCTACTGCAAATCACCATTGTGGCCTATTTGACCAACTACGACCTGTATAACTCACATCTCACATTGTTCATAACACTGACCTCTATGTTCTACGGACATTATCATAGCTCACCACTACAATCTATGTGACCAACAACAACTTACGCGACTCACAACTTTTGTTCCTCCTAACTCCAACCTTTGTGGCCAATTAACACTACTATGGCTCGCCAGCTCTATGCTTTACTAACCCACGTGATCACTTACAACTTATGTTGCTCACGGCTTATGCAACTCCTGACTCCAACATATGTCTTGCAGACATTATCGTACCTCACTACTATGATCCATGTGACTAACTATAACCTATGTGGCTAATATCTCATGCTGCACCCAACTTCGGCCTATGTGGTCTACAAACGTTATTATAGCTCACCATGATGACATATATGACCAACTACAACCTACGTGACTCACACCTCATGCTACTTCTAACTCCGACCTTTATGGCTAATAGACGTTATTGCAGCTCACCACTATAGATTATGCAATCAACAACGACCAACATAGCTTAAAAATTATGCAACTCTCGACTCTAATCTATGTGACCTATGGACGTTGTTGTGGCTTCCTACTTCGACTATTGCGGCCAACTAACGCTTCTGAAGCTTTCACTAATATCCTACATGATCAACCATTACCATGATTTTCAACTATGGCCTCCATAATAAATTTGCACTAAACCACTGTCTACACTAATCATGATAGATTATTACCTTCACATCAACCAACTAAGGTTGTTACAACCAACTATCGCCATTGTCGCTAAGAAATACATTCATTACAACCATGCTATGACTATTATTAATGAACTATTGTTGTACATCTACTGATAATCAACTATAAATCCTGAGAAAATGAGCTATGCATTTACAATTACATAATAGGTTATTTCAAATCGGGCTAAGGCTCTTTATTTGTTCTCTTTGAAATTTTCCATATAAAATCTTAGTGTTCTACCTCTCATGTCCTTATTATCTATGCAAGTGCTAGATTTTCATGCAACATTCAGCCAGTAAATTATATCTTTGTTATAAATCCTCTAACACAACAATTATCATTATATTTTTGCTTGATTCAAAAATAATTTTCTTTTTTTTTGACTTATTATGGACCAACTGATTTCTTATATTATTAATGAAACACACTTTTTCATGCATAGTTTATAACGATGTGCAATGAATTAAAATTTTTAAAAATTGGTATTAAACATGTAAGCAAATAAGATTTGTGTTGCAAGTAAACTTTCAGATTTTTTAGTTCACAGGGTATTAACCATCTGGATGTATGAGCTAAGCAAAATATTCACATATTCTAAAAACAGCATATTCCATCTATTAAGCACATTTACCATCCAATTTATCAAACTAATATTTTAAGTTTTTGAAAATTTCAATTGGAACATAAATGCGATCCACAAAAAAACTATGATTACTTGGTAGAGCAGAACGATGAACAAATAACAGTTCGGCAAATTGTAAAGAAAAGATTGAAACAACTCTGCTAAAAATTACATATCAATACAAAACACTTAGTATATGCTACACACATCCATATTACTAAGTTGCATATTATTCACATTTAGCACCCTATAAAAACCCATCCCATCATAAAAAGAACCAATTTCGAACAGAATGAGCTTCTTGGCAATTGATTATGCGGTGGTACTCTGATCTTTGTCAACGTTGATAAGTTCCTTACTGCTCTTCTGCTCAGGGGAGAGATCAGGAAACTTAAAGGGCACTTCCCTTGGAGGCAAGCAGCGTTTGGTGAAGAACTTTGCAATGCCTTTCTCCTTGCTGCTTTTGTCTGTGGCAATACAATAACGAGATTAAAATTTAGGTCATTTGCATTCATAACACCACCACAGTTCTTATGTATTTACAATAACATACAAACCTCCATATTTACATGCACAATATTCAAGTCTTTAATATCACATCAAAATTACCACTTTCACCTACCTTCTAAAAGTAAAATACAACTTTTTATGCACAAGTTTATCATAAATATGAAAAGTTTAGGCTTGATATGTAAATACATAAGAATTGTGTGGTATGTACGCAAATTTCTGTAAAATATATTGATGTTGGGATGACAGATGGATAGGGTTCTTCATATTGAAGCGTTGGTGAAGGAGAATGGGCTTACTAGTGGTGATGGGTAAGCCAAGCCGATCCAAGACCTCTTTCTTAACCTACAAAAAAGGCAGCATGAGCTAAAAATTGACACTTAAAGATACTATGAGGGCCATTCAGGTTTTGCTTGAAGATAGAAAATCATGCTTTGAAAAAAGGATTTTACTAAATATATCATCATTTGGTCATCAGTATTAATTACAAACTCCACCAAAGTTATTAAATTTCTATTCAATTTCATGATCAATAAAGTAAAAATGAAATTATCATTTTTGAAGGTGAACCATAAGTTGCAAAATGTCGCTCAAATCTATGAGCTTGGAGAAAAAATTTTCTCTTCTAACCACGGGAACATTTTCAAAATCAAGTTTTTTAAGAACTTTTTTTTACTTGAAAAATCAAATAAGCCTTTCCAAGGCTGGCATTTTCTTGGCAGGACTTTACGGGGGGCATTAGTTTGAAATTAGAATTAGAAACTTTCTCAACTGAAAGCAGCACAACAACAAAATACCTGCCAGCGATGGTCAGAATAATCTGAAATTTCTTTCACTTTATTCTTTATTTGAGATTTAGAAATGCTTGAGAACTTAATTTGCAATGATTCTACAACCTTTTTGATACTCTGTGGAGATAATTGAATTGCTTTAACCTGTGTAACAAAATGAAAATACAAATCAAGTAAAACAGTTAGAAAAAACAAAGTACGAAGTAATGGCCCAGCAAAGTTAGAAACTAAATAGAATTCTTTTTAGGAAAATTTCCATATATGACACTCAATTCCTATGTATTTACAAATCAAATTTTACATACATGTTATCATACCTATGCATGAAAAGGTGTCTTTCACTTTTAAAAAGTATGTCATATGAAAGATTTGGATAGAATGAATGTAGAAAAGTAAAGTTTGAGTGTTAGATATGTAACTACATAAGAATTTGGTGGTATGTATGTAAATATCCCATGTTTTTACTGCACTTACAAATTCAGGCAATTCTGAATCTGGTATAAAAACAGCCGTCGTGGCTGGAGGAGTGCTTATATTATTAGCTAGTGAAAATTGTTCTTCATCTTTACTTGCAAGATTATTACTTGGTATCTCAATAGCTGAAGCTCCAGGGCAAACCCTAATACACAAAACCTGCAAGCAGATTTGTTCCAACCTAGCAGTTCCATCTAAAGAATCAGCATTTAGTGATTTTGTTTTTTCATGCCTTAGATTTGTAATAATTAGTGGATGACCCTTCCGAAGAGCCTGTTCAGTCAAGTTGTTAAGATACTTTTGTTGTTGAAAAAATGCACTGAATTTCTCATTTTCAGTTTCCATCTGAGAGCATGTTAAGCTTCTGGATTCTTCATCCATGGAATCTGATTGTTTGTCTTGAACCCCCTTTTACAAATAAAAAATGAAAATAAGTTAGTTTTCTTCTAATAATTAAAAAAGGGGATACCATACAAAGATTCAGAAACAATAAAAATGAGTAAAGTGAAAAAATAGTCTCCTAACTAGTTACATGGAGTCATTTAGACTCAGAGTTTATAAATGCAAAATTAGTTCTCATATTCTTTTAAAATAGCCCTCATTATGGACTATTTCAATGCAATTTAAAAGATTTTGAATACTAAATTGACACTTTTTATAAACTCTGGGACTAAAATGGGCCCCTACAAAAAAAAAAAAAAAAAAAGTGAAAATTTAAAAGTGTTAGTGATCTACAACTAACAGCAACTAATTTCAAAAAAATGTAAACCTTCTGTAGTACTTCGAGTACTCAAAAACAGAATCAAATGAAAGATTAGCAAAAGAGTTAACTGAGAGTTTTGATAAATGAAAAATACCTCATTTTCTGAAAGATATCCATCAGGCACTAAGAAACTATCTTCACTTTCATCATCACTGCCCTCCTTCATGTTTTCTTCGTCAAGCACTTCATCCTCCTTGTCTTTCTCGCAATCCGATAGGCTTTCCCCTGGTTCTTCCTGCATCAAAATAAAAGGAATACAGAAAATGATTACTAGCAAAGCTGTATTTCAGCCAGAGATAACAAAACCATGAAGAAAACTGAATCACCTCCTCCCATTCCTCATCGCTATCAACTTCATAATCCAAGTCAGGATCTATCCTAAACGGATTTCGAGGACCAATAATACTATAGAACCATGAGAAGAAAATCAGTATTTATGGTTATTAAATTGTGAAATTTACAAATGGTACACACAATCCTTATATATTTACATATCTCAGGCCTAAACTTTCATATTTACATAAATAGCATTTTTTTTGCTTTAAATCTATACATGAAAAGGTGTATTTCACTTTTAAAAATGGTAATAGCGCTATTTTTTACGTGATATTAAAGATTTGAGTGTTATGTGTATAAATATGAAAATTTAAATGTGAGGTACTTTTGTACGTAAGAATTGTGTGCTATGCACGTAAATTCCCCCTTATCATATTAAATTTTCATCAGAAGTAGAGTCAGATCAACTTTGATGTTACCTTTTCCTACTCCAAGTACCATAATATGCTGGTCTGTTACTCTTGTCAAACTGCAAAAGCTTTTTAACTAAACAATTGGGAGGACTATTTTCTAAAATATTCTGGCATTTCTGGTTATTTGTGGAAGCCTCAGCACATTCGCCCAACTGTTTATCTACCACTGTCTCTTTTGCACATCCAGCTTCAGAAGTTTGGCCTAACAATTTCAAGTCTTGAAACAAGTTAATCTTTGGCTTGGACCGTACACCCCATCGGTTGGATCTGTTTGAACGGCAACATTCGTGCCATCTAACAATATGCATTCTGCAAAAAAAAAGGCCAAATTTTGAGTACTAGATTATGAATTTTTTTGTCAATTACTAAAATACAATATAGATGTTTATGAATAGGAGAGAATATATAGGACTGAACAACAAAGAATTTTCATGGAGACAATATAGATGTTTATGAAACTAAAAAAAGTTAAAAAAAGCAATAAAATATATAAATATGACTATAACTTGTGCACATGACTTTGAAGAAGTCTAATTAGCATGTCATTTAAAATAAAATAAACTGATGATTTGATACTTTTATAGGTTTTGGGACTAAAATGAACCATATAAATAACCAAATGACAATTTTAATACTCTACTCAATTAAAATTGAGCCAAATCAAGAACCTTTGAATGACAATCGAAAGAGCACCAATGAAATTTAGCACCAGATAGTAAGCTGAGTTTCTTCAAACAATAAAAATATACCCATGCTTGCAAAAATGGTTAGAAGTGTTGATTTGTAGCATATAATGCTAAGAGCATAAACAGCCCAATAGAAAAACAAGTTGCTTCTACATAAATGCACTGTTTTAATCAGAACGAATAAATTAGGTGTGAATATTGATAATACTAACCTGAGTAGTTCCTCCATTGCAAGGTTTTCATGCAATGATAGCATGTTATCCATCGACGATGAAGTTGAGTTAACCATACTCTCGCTTTCGCAGTTCACTTCCGAAATTAACACCTCCTGTGAGGACGTTAAATCAAGCGAATCATTGACCTTCGTGCGCTTGAGAAACCGTTCCATAATTGTTGCTTGCTTTTGTATTTTAAGTTTTTTTTTCAATTCAGCTGCTTCTTTCTCATGTCGTTGTTGGTCTTTTTTTGTTTGCATTTCTTGTTTTTTAAGCTGTTTCTTAAGTTCATCCCTCTCTTTCTCAAGACGTTTTTCCTCTGCTGCAGCTTCGTTTTGGAGCCTCCTTAACTCTTTTTCCTGCAAAGAATGGAGAATTTTAATTTTGGAAGAATCTACAAGCACGCTTTGAGTGTTAAACAACTATTAATGATAAAAACATATTTTAAAACGAAAACAGACTAGAAAAAGTTATATAGTAGATACAATTAGCTTGCATATTCAAATTTAAGCTCACAAACTTCATTTTTGACAAAAAAATTGCAGAACAAAGATTTCTATTAACATCCTTCTATTTAGAGAAGCAGCAAGATATATGTTTTCAGATATAAAGCTTTACATACAGACCACTCAATTCCCATGCTTTTACATATCTAACACCTGAACTTCAATTTTTACATATGCCACCTTAACTGTTCTTGAAAAGGTGTATTCATTTTTTTTAAAGTTAAAATGGCGATACTTTATATGTAATATGACAGATTTGATGGTATAAATGTAAAAAATAAAGTTTAAAGGTAGACAAGTAATTACATAAGACTTTTCTGGAATATATATGTAAATGCCCATTCAGATATCAATATCATCCTAAAATGTTCATTTAATTAGACCCATTTAACGGGTTATTAACTTATGCAGAAAGAGGCCTCCAAGAACAAACACTCGGTAGCATCTAGCTAGGCAAATACATATTAGTAAAAGCAAAATGAAGATAATTTCTCCACTTACAGCTTGTTGTTGCTGCTTCTGGATGTCTTGATCAAGTCTTTTCCTTTCCATCTCAGTAACATGTTCATTTCTCTCAAGTTCCTTGATCAGTTCTTTTTCTTTCAACTGGGCTTCTTTCTCAGCCCTATATTTATAGAATGTATAATAATAGTAATTAATCATAAATGAAGGGGATTTATGCAATAAGATGAATGCATTAAGAAAAATGGATCAATCTTTCATACATCTCAGCAGTACATTTTTGCTTCTGTTTTTCAACCAACGAACATATGTTTGACAAATTCATTGCTTTCCGAAGCCGCCTCGCAGCTTCCTTTGACAAATCACCTAGGTGGCTTTCATCAGAATGAACAGACAAAGATGAAATTGTAACTGCAATAAGTAGGAAAGAAAGAAATCAGTACAAAATGCCGGTCAAACCGCCAATTTCGGCAATCAAAACATGAAAAACAATACCGTGAAGAAAGAGCAACATGTAAATTTTAAGCAATTAAAATTTAGGGAAAATTTATATACATAACAAACAATTCTTATGTATTTACATATTTAAAACCTACAATTCGATATTTACACTTACAACACTTTGGCGTCATAAACCTGTGCATGAAAAAATAAATCACTTCTAAAAAATTAATAATGGTGGTATTTTTCATATGATGTTATAACTTGAGTTTTAAATGTAAATGTGAAAGTTTAGTTGTTAGATATGTAAATACATAAGGATTGTGTGATATTTATTTAAATGCCCCGAGAATTTGTACTGTGATCTTTCAACAGATCAAGTAAAATTGTTATTATCCTATTAGAGGAGGATGAGAGCTTAAGTGCTCTAAAATAATACACGTTTAACACCATTTCAAAGAAAATTGACCCAAATAAAAAAGAAAAAAAAGGATATGTTTGAGATGATGCTTATTTTCCACAAACCACTCAAAAAGAAACTACAAAAATATTACAAAATATGACATCAGTAAGAAACTGTTATAGACCAATTTAGCTTTGAATTATGTGGTGAGGTTAATTAGCTTGTAACTTATTTTCTTTAAAGAACGCCGTAACACTAATCAAAAATCAAATTTGAACTCCTTTATGAATTTAAGGGAAGTGTTATGATTCTTTGTTCATCTAAATTCAATCCTCAATTTAACTCATCCAAGGCTATCACTAGCAATGACGGTTTTGTAAACTAGAAACATGCTTCTCTTAATTTTTCAAATAAAAATACAAAGATAGTTTTTTTTTCTTAACAACCTAATATTACGAAAAAAAAGTGGCTCAATGTAGAAAGCAAATAGATTCAGCAAAATATGCTCAATATGAAGTAGCAAAATCCGCAAATCATTTATGCATTGTTCCTTCTGCTAGCACTTGTTGACTCACTAGGGAAGACAACTAAGAAAAAGCTAAATAATATGCTTGGAGAGAAAGGAGATCAAACAATTGAAGCAATCAAAATCGAGACGAAAGTTTTTTTTGGGTATTCACATGTGTAGCACACAATTCTTATGTATTTGCATATTTCACATCTAAACTTTCATATTTACAAGCATAGCACCCCAATTTTTAATATTACATCAAAAATAACAATATTACCACTTTTTAAAGGTAAAATACACATTTTGATGCATAAGTTTAAAGCACCAGTGTTATGTGTGTAAAATATAAAAGTTTAGGTTTGAGATAAATAAATACATAGGAACTGTGTACTACGCATGTAAATTTCCTTTTTTTTTTCTTTTGGGTATGTGTGATTTTCAATTTGCAGGTTCTCAAGTAAATAATTGCATGGAGATGTTAATTCTTACTGAAATGGTATCATAAGAGTAGTATAGCTCAAAGTAGAAAACAAATGGAATTGAGAAGGACGTGATTTTTATAGGAAAAAAAAACTCAAATCATATGCTCATTATAACTGTTCCTTAGGAAGCACTTCATGGCTCCTAGAGGGGATGACCAGCTAAGAGAGAATGGATTTCTTTTTTCACCGTATCTCTAAGGGATAATGATTGATAGGAGCATAGAACATGATTCTCAGACGAGTAAAATGATAAGATTAAAGTAATTCTTTTAGAGGTTGTATGACAAGAGATCAGCTTTAACTTAAGTTGATTTAGTAAGTCCTGTAAGCTCAAATTTAACTAATCCGGTGTGGTTAAAGCCTTAAAACTATTTGGCAAAGGATTTATTAAATCGAATTAAATCATCTCAAACTATTTGACAACTTCTGCCCGCATTTAGAAGACTATGTTCATTAGAATAAAAAATTAAAATTAAACTTTGATTATTTATTATTATGATAAAAAATTTAATTATGTAAAATTTTATTTCAAATTATGGTAATTAATAATTATATATTCAAAAAACTAAGTAATAATTAATAAAAATTTTACTAATCTAATTATTTATTAGATAGTGAATTAATATTTATAAAATAATAATTAAGTAGCAATAATTATATTAATAAATAATTATTTATAATTTATTTGAAAAACTAAAAAAATAAATATATTTTTTATTAAATAATAAATAAATAAATAATAAGTAAAAATTTATTAAATTACAATTAATGTGATAATACATCAATTATCTATTATTTGTTAATCAATCAAATTAATAAAACTAACATAAATAAAAATAAATTTAAAATTCTAGCCTACTATGCTCTTATGATCTTCCCTCTCTTCCTAAAACCTTCGCCTATTTCCCTCCCCCACTCCCTGTTTCACTCCAAAACCATTGCCTTCGTCGCTGAATCCTCACAATAGAATTGCAATTAGAGCTAGATGGAAGGCAACGACGGGATTGCGGTGTACAAAGACTCCCAAAACTCCATCTTTCTCATTCTTTCACTTAGATCCTACCTGAAACCATTGAGGAGGAAAGTCAGTTAGCACCACTCTTCCTCTTCGCTCTTCATGGATTTACTGAATCAGCTAATTCACGGGATTTAGTAGATCAAGGATTTAAGGCCAAAATCCGTGAAATACGGATTTATCAAATCACGACTTTACTTTGTCCAAAATGACTGTCTGGCAAAATTTAGGTTAAATCAAGGTTAATTCCTGCTCTAAATATGTTATCATACAGGCCCTTAGAGACTGGCATGACAAAAAGAAAAAGACACGATGGACAAAAATTCTCACTTGAAAGTGCAGAAATCCTATCATGAATCTTTTTCCGACAAAGACGACGATCACGGAAAAATCCAAGTTGATTTCTGGGCAAAAGCTTCATTTCCCTGGTCTGCAAATAAGACATTTAGAGCTCAACATTAATACATAATTCAATAAAAATAATATCGAATGTTTACATTCTGAAATCCATTACCTCCCAGCACCAAAGGCACTTCTCAGATACATCTTCCAGCACATCAACATCCTCATTTACTACCCCATACATCACTCTCTGTCCAACAAAAAGCACGGCACTTCGTATTGAGGCCAAGGTGGCTCCTTGGTTTCCCTCTTTTGCTTTCATTTTGCCATATATTTCCTCCACCAATGCTGAAAAAGAAAGGCTGCTCTCCTCCAGCATGCAGGCAACTGCTGAATTTAAAGAAGTAAAATGCCCTTCATCGAGCTGAAGCTTGCAGGAAGAAACCTCTTTGTAGAATTCAAACAGTCCATCAAGCTCATGTTGGCATTCTTTGATGAAAGCCAAATTTTTCTCGTGAATGACGCCGCTTTCCATGCAAGCCTTTTTCCTCTTCCTCTGAGTTTTCTGATTCAAAGTGCCTTTTGCGTCTAAGTTGAGGGTGGTAGGTTCTCCAGCTGGAAAACTATCCATATTACCACCCAGTTGAGGCATTTCCGCTCCGCCCTCTGCATCATTACCCACAGATTGATCTGCCATTTGAAACATCTTAATGGGAGAGATACAGCGGTATCCAATGACTGATCCTTACGAAATTCCTCGCCACAACTCCAAATAAAAGCGCCTCTGAGTTGATTTTCGGTGCCCAGCAAAAAATATCTCCGTCGTTGCAAATAGGTGTCGAAAAAGTTGTCCTTCTGGAACCAGCTGCTTCAAAATCTCAGAAAGTGAGACACACCCTCTGGAACCCGCTGCTTCAAAATCTTAGCCTGCCTCAGTGAAGAAGCCAACTACCTTGATCGAAAATAATTTCAGACAACAAAATCAGATAATAAATTCGATTAAAATATGCAATCTTTAGGAACTGTTTGGTAGCCGGTTCTAAGCAGGATTTACGCATTTAAGCTAAATCCTACCAAACGGCAAAAAAATGCATCCGTAAATCCTGAGCTCCCGTAAATCCCAAAATGACGCCGATTCGCGAAAAATCCGGGATTTACGAAATCCTGTGAATCGGCGGATTTTAGTAAATCCGGAACGAGCGAAGAGGAAGAAAGGCAGTTAGCAGGCTTACTTCCCTCAATGGCTTCTGGTAGGAGCGGAGAGGAAGGATGACAAAGAAGGGAGTTTCGATGGTCTCTGTAAGCCTCGATCCCGTTGTTTCCTTCCCAGCTAGCTCTAATGACGACTGTATCGCGAAGATTACTTCACGAAGGCGGTGATTTTGGGCGAAACCAGTGGGGAGAGTGGCATAAGCAAGGGCTTTGAGCAGGGGTGGGAAGTTTCGGCAAAACAGGGAGAGCAGGAGGATGTCGGAGAGGGTTTCGGGCAGAGAGGGGAACAGGAATGGGGAGGTTTTAGGGGCTGTTTCAGAAGTCGTAAGCCCATTTCGGTCGGCTTCTCCTCAAATCAAGCTAAAAGGAAGCAAACAAAGAAATGTAGAACAAGGATCTTACCTTGCAAGAAGATTTCTGATCCGCGAAACAATCGGAAGCCCTTCACTAAGCTTGAGCCCTGGATTAGGGATCCTCTCTTTTCATTAACAGAGCTTGGAAAAAGGCGACGGTAGGACGAAAATATCAGCAAAGTTCGATCTGACGGCTGGTGAGAGCGAAAAGTCGCTGAGGATAGTGCATTTGAGTGTCAGCCGTCCGATTACAAGGAAAAGCAATGCGGCGCCAGTAGCATTTTTGCGCGAAATGTTTCTTCCCGCCAATTAGAGATGCTTTGGCTCCACTTTCCCGGCCAGAAATATGTGACGGATGGGCTGCGCACCGCTTCGGAAGTGTCAATTCTCGTGAAAAATTGTGTAGTGAAAAATTCTTAATATGGGCCGTGGACCTGTTCCAAATAGTATATTCTGTTCATCTAAAAAAATATTACCGACTCTGTAATAATCTCGAATTAATTTTCGTCGGAGATTATTTTAAGATTATTTCAGAGTTATTTTATGACCCAAAATAATACCGCGGAGATTATTTCAGGATTATTGGAGTGAAACCGCAGAGATTATTTTGGAGTTATTTTTTGGTTATTTCAAGATTAATAAAGTAGAATATAAGAGTTTCTCTTCAATAACCCCAAAAAACATCCGCGGTTACAATTTAATAATCCTAAAATAGTCTCTGTGATGTAACACACGTGACAACATATTATTGGAATTCGCACGTAGATCTACGTTTGGAGTCAGGACAGAAAATTTTTCCTCTCATGCCCTACTTAATTATTTTTATAATTTTTTTAAAACTTTTTTTAATGTTAAGCTTTTTAGAGTATAAATTTGTGAAATTTTAATTGATAATGCTCATTAAATATTTCAAATTTTTTTATCGTTAATTGGCAACACTATTTTTATATATAGTTGGAATCCAAATATATCATGTAGATCACACCAAAGGTACAGAGCGTTGAATAGACTATAGAGAAAGAAAAAGAGCATATGATGGAGTCAATTATTTAGTCATTTACTCTATAAATGACCCCTACTAATAGGTTTTAGAGATATATAGTCTAAAATTACATATTTCTCCCTGTTTTGATAGGGAAATTATAAGTATTATTACACATTTTTCATAATTGTAACCAACTCTGACACCCTTTCATATTCGCAATTGATATTAGCTTTGTTTCAAATTAGTAACTGCTTGAAGAAGAGCATATGACAACCCAATAACCTCATCAACAGTCGGGCCTTTTCAGGGAATCTCGAGTAGAGGCCTCCTATTGTTAGAGTCAACTTGGGTTGTCAGACAGAGGGTGTGCCATCATAACCTGTCGGGCAAGTCCACTTGGAATTCTCAATGGATCAGAAAGGTGTCTTGTGGAGGCCCTTTGGTCATTTTATGAGTTTCAAAATCAGCTGAGGAACTGGTCCTGGACAACTATCGCTCGGATTGGGCTCCTTTTATTTCTTCCTTTGTCAGTGCTTCCATAATGCTTGGTGTTCCCATTTTTTAATTATCCCGATACACCGTTCTTTGGTGTTCATAAGCGAGACCTATTGGATTTCCTCATTATTTTTGCAACATATTCTTATGTATGTATTAAGTTTCTCTTTTATCTTACTTTTTGAAAGTAATTGATTTGATAATAATAAGAGAATTAAATGTAAAAATTGATTTATTTATTATGTAATAAGTATTTTTAATAATAAAACTTCCTGGATTTTCACACTCACAGTTTCTATAAATAGAGCGGAGTTTGCACTTCTCCAATATTTTTTCTCAATTTCCTACTCTTAAGTCGGTTGTTATACTTATGTTGAGTAGCAAGAAATCATTTATTAGGGCGATAAATGATGCGGCCATGATGAAGGCCTTCGAATTTTTTATTGAAAAATTTCACCCTCTCAAGCACGCAGGGGAGAAGAAGAAATAAAAGAGTGGTCGACCCGTGGTAAAGAAAAAAGCGTAGGAAGAGGGTCGGCCAGTAATAGCAAAGAGGCCATAGAGAAAAGTCAGACGGTCGGCACAAAGAGACTGGACAGAGGTGTCGGCACTATTTTGGGTGTGGAGTTGCCCGTTAGAAGCTGTCGATCGCCAAAATCGAAATCCCGTCGCCCGCTTCGGAAGGACATTTAATTTATATATATATATATATATATATATAGTTTAGAAAAATATGAAATCAAACTGACACCATATTTTTCATAGTTTAAATGACAGAGCACTATACCTCAAACCATGTATCTGTCCCAAAAGTCAAACACAAGACTTGAGGATGAGGCTCGATCAAATAAACTAAGAAATGTATGACGTCTGTTTGGTCTGCGAAACCATTTTATTTGCCGACAATTTCCCCTATTTAATATGAAGAATTAAATAGGATTTATTTTAAGTTGAGTTCGGACAAACTTCCTATAAGGGCAAGCCCCTATAGTTAATTACATCTTCAATAACTGAAGTCACTTTAGCAAACTCTCGATAAAAATCAGGAAATATTATCTTCAAGGAGTTCAAAAGAATATGATTTTTCAACAAGATTGAACAAAGAAGCATGAAATAGTATTGGCTCAAATTTGGAACATTTATTGTAGAATCCAAAGGAGGAAGAACTGGGGGATGTCATAGATCCGGAGGAGAACCTCGATGACTTCCCAGTCTATCCTATTATTTGGCTTCAGTTTTGAGGATAAATATTTAGCTATTTCATCATAAAAATTTTATTAGTTTAGGGCCTATATTTGTGTGAAATGATCACACAAATAGCCTGGAAGATGTGAGGGTTTAAATCGTGACGAACGACGACCTCAGAATCCTAAGACGAGCTAGGGCTTAGATTCTATAACAAAGTTGTACAAAAGCCTAAAGATAAGGTGAGGTTTTATGATGTATAAGCAAACAACCTCAAAATACTATGGATTGTTGTTTTAGTTCTAAGGAAGTAAATTGGTTTAGCTGGGAAAGACAGGTTTTGCAGTTTGAAGATGGCCGTGCTACCCACAATGCTAGCTCCAAGCTCCTTGCCGTGACGAGTTTAAATTTTGTAGGGTGTCAAGTTATGATATCAAATCAGATGACGCTATGGTTGAAGTTCTTTAAATGTTATGGGGCATGTTAAAGTTGATTAGGATCCTATGATTCCCTCATTCTGGTACCACTATTTTCTATTAGATTCACTTAGTCCAAATGAATTTACTAAACTCAACTTAATAAGTTCCATACTTTCATTTAAACCGTAGGAAGTCTCGTTAGCAACAACCGTAGGTTACC